CAAAATGACTGTCGTGTAAACGGGGTTTGTAACATTGGAGAACATGGTGAGGATGATAATTGGATTCCAACAGAGGATCAGAAAATTCCACTGTTCTATGTGCCATAATCTCCCTTTGTCTGTTGCCAGTTGAACTGCATTACCCATAAACGATTTTAGGATGTTTTCTGCACTTTCCTTATTAATGGTATGTTGACAGCCATATAGTCTATATCAAGATCTTCAATTGTTGCAGCATCTGCAACAACCCGAGGATTGGCCTCGGGGACAAGAAAATTAGACATTTCTTGAAGTCGATGTTCTGTTAAATAAGAAAAGAAATGATTATTTTATGATATTTTAGGATTTTTTGGAAATTTTTTTTTCATCCAGTTTCCATTATGAGATCAGAAGTCCATATTAATTTAATATTAAATAACAGGAAATTTACTTTTTAATTATTCATGATAAGATGTTAGTTTACTATCAAAAACCATTCCATACATGGTGGGCAAAAAAGACGGCAAATTATTATTATTATTATTTGGTGTTTAATTACACATTTTTGCATAAACAATGAATTACAATGTGTTTACATTCAAAGTCAAATTTAGTTTATAGTTATTTACACGGTCATAAAATTTAAGGTAAAATAGGTTACGAATATTATTAATATATAACTTAAGATGGAATAGTAAGTTAAGAATATTGTTGAAATTTAATCATTTAATCTAAGGTAGGTTCCTTTCTCCATTTCATGGCATTCAGTTCAACAATTGCTCTTGGAAAGAAACTGTTTTTAATGCGTTCAGTTCTGCATTTATACAATGACAGATTATTTAAGTTTCAACAAGGGGACTAACCTGAAGTTCAGGCCCTAATTTGAAATAGGGCCTGACACAAAACCTGTCTAGACCGTGGGACGCCCACATGTTATTCTTAGACACACATGCAATATGATTGACAAGTGTTGTAGATTTCGTTACACAAAAAATTTATATTCTCATGAACATGTCCGCAGAGTGTGCATTTTGCTTTTTAATTAAACTTAAAAATTCAAGGTACTTTTATATAATTAAGAGTCAGTTTCTCTATTTAACCGAACAGCAAACAAATAGTTTTAATTAGTTCTGTGCACGGCTTGACTGCCAAGCTTTCTCAAGGTCTCAACTTGCTGGACGCGGATATACTCTAACGACTAACGGGCTAACAACAGCAACAATTAAATTCTCAATCGTACCACGAAGAAGGCGATGTAGCTCAGAAAACAGTGCCGGTGGGACCTGATATTAAAAATAAGACTTTTGCCGGCGAAGCTAGTTGGCAGAACATCTTGACTGTCAACAACAAGCTTTCGAATACATGACTAGTTTGGCTGTTCTTTCAGCGTTCTGTGTGTCCAAAATTCGTCAAAGATTTTCATGAAGCCCTTTCAAAATACTGTTTGTTTGATTTATTTTCTGCCATAAAGCATATTAAAAGAAAAGAAATTCGAAGAAATCGATAATGGAATTTGTTATGTGCGTTTGACCTTTATATTAATTCTCGCCTTATGACCAAGCTATTTTTAAAACTGTTGTTTATGTGAACTTGCAACCAATCAAAATCCTTCGTGATGCTGATCAACCAATCAGATTTCCCGTCCACCAGGTGGACGGGAATCCCACACTTTAGATAGGTTTTGTGTCAGGCCCTATTCTGTGATTAGGGCCTGAACTTCAGGTTACAAGGGGACCTGCTCGTTTAGCAATCTTCTGTAAGGTATATATACAGGTTTCGTTTCGCCTGTCGCTAAGTCTTGTGCAATTAGCCAATTGGAGAGCTTCGTCGTATGAGTGGCCAGGAAAGATAATGCGCATGGCACGCTTTTGTACTCTTTCCAGTTCTTCAGACAGATAGCGAGGTATCGCGTAATTCCATACCTCACAACAGTATTCCAGAATAGAACGAATAAGCGCGAAGTATATGTTGGTAAGATCAGCTGGAGGGACACCACCGCGGCATAATACCCGAAGACCATATAACCGTTTGGAGGCCTTGGTGATGATTGATCGAATTTGCTCATCCCATTTAAGATTGTTTTGAATAATTAAACCCAACACTTTGTGCGATTGTACCGTTTCTACCATGTGACCATCAATTGTCAAAGATGGTAGCTGCAGAGTTTCTTTAAGAAAGGAAACCCGGAGCTCTTTGCACTTTCGGCCACATACAAATAACTTTCTGTCATTAGTTTGGAATATCACGAAACTTCCTCACAGGATAGAACTTGACATTCCTAAAAATCCATTTTGAATGTTTTTACAGTTTTGAGGTCCTTATAGGCCAATCTCTTCAAAAAAGTTACTAGCATGTTTTTAGCTTGTGTTTATTTTTTTGGCGCCAAAAAGTTATTTTGTATGTGGCCAAATTTGCTGTCTTTTTTGCCAACCGTAATAAGCAACTCAGGTTACTTAAATAAATGTAACAATGAAAAAGTACAGTGAACTAACTTTTTTTAGTGTCAAATAAATTATTTTCAACAAGCAAATTTATTAAACATGTGTACTGTTGTTGTCAAAAGAATAAGAGGTTACTATGAGGTCGAACTGGCATTTTTTATAGACAGTTCGATACACTCTATCGATTCACTCATTAAAATGAGTTAACCTCTGTACCAGATTCATTCTCAGTTCAGCACAGTAACATGAGAAGTTAATCAGCAAATTATTATAAACTGATATCCTTATTGTCAGACTTAAATTTTCTGTTGTTGGTTTCAAATGTTTATATTAATGGGATATCATTTTATATCACAACCTGGAGGTGTGGGGTTCTATATAAGAGATGACTGTGAATTTCATGTTAGGGATGATTTTACAGTATCAACAAATGATTTTAAATGTCTGTTGCTGGAGATTTACTGTCAGTATCAGAGCAATATTATGTTATGTAATTGTCCGACATCTAAAAAGTATGTTGATAACAATCTTTTATTCAGGAAGCATTCTCACAGAAGTGATTTTCAGAATGGACCTGTACTATAGAACTAGTATTATACAAAGTGAAGAATATTAGATCTAAATCTATTTACATGTGGTCAAAAGATAAAAATATCATAAATTATCTATCATTACAATAGTATACTTGCTGAACTGGTAAAAATTTAAAAGTTTAAAAGTCGAGAAGAACAATAGTACATCATGGCCGACAGTCAAAAACTTTGGATTTAAATTGAGATATTGTCTGGGCATTTTGACAATCCGACTCAAGGTTGTTATAGTCATACACAGCATGATAAGTGACTTTATGTTTACCCCAATTTGTCCTTGTCTTGGGTAAATGAAGAAAGCAACTCTGTCGAGTATTATAATTATGAATACTGCTGTTATATACTAAATTAAAGTCAAAGTTTATGTGATTATTTAAACATTTAAAAATTAAGATGCATCGATGGGCACGTCTTCTTTCACTCAGTCGTTTCCATTTTAAAGTTGACAGAGCCTCTGTTGACGAAAAGGATATTGGTTTGTTCAATATAATTTTTGCTGCTTTACTTTGTTGGACTTGTAAATCGTTCATCAATGATATATTGTTTTTGTCACCCCATATCACACCCCCATAGTCAAATAAAGGGAGAACAAGGCAACTAAAGAGTGTCAGTCGGGAATCAGTTGGTAACAAATGTTTGATTCTCTTAAGCAGACCCAATCGCTGGTTTGTTTTCGAAATAATATTCTCGATATGGTCGCTCCACGACAAATCTTCATTGAAAGTCACCCCAAGATATTTCAACGAATTCACACGTCCGACTGCCTGATTATTCACTTTTATGGAGATGCTATTAAATGATTTAAGCCGTTGTTTACTTCCAAACAGAAGGAGTTTAGACTTCTCACAGTTAAGCGTAAGCAAATTGGATGAAAGCCATTCCGCAACTGATTGAAGGTCTTCGTTTAGAAAAGTTTCAACTTCATTAGCCGTTTTCGCAGAAACATAAATCAAAGTATCGTCCGCGTAAAGTATGACTTTGCAATGTTTAATACAGTGCTGGAAATCATTCACATAGACCAGGAATAGCAACGGTCCCAATATGCTCCCTTGAGGAACACCGATTCTGATTGGTCGAGAATCGGAGAAAGAGTTGTTGACCGAGACAACTTGTTCACGATTACACAGATAGGACCTAAACCATTCAGCAGCACTTGTATCCAAACCAACAGACTTTAGTTTTGAAAGCAACACCTCGTGATTGACGGTGTCATTGATAGTTTTATTGTTTTAATAACTATCTTACAGAAATTATGGATAGAATATCCAGCAAAAATAGATAGTGCATTTTCATTAAAATGAAAAGAGATGTTAATGTTAATTTACTGAATTATGAATCCCATATTCCAACAGAGCAATTTATTAATAATTCAACTGCCTATTGTCTTCAACCACATATTCTACAGCCTATAAGAATCGCTGATCACACAGCTACTTTAATTGATAATATTTATTTTAATTCTATTGAACATGATTGTGTCAGTGGAAACCTAGTTAGTACTATATTTTAGATCACCTTCCAAATTTCCTTCGAAAACCTTAAACCTTGAGCGTGCAAGGGATGATGAGTTTTCACGTATTAGGCCCTTAAAACTCAGAGAATTGCCTTTGCAGCAAGTATGTTTTCTGTCATTTTCAAAGTTTACAAATCTAAATAAGCAATACCCATCGTCCTTTGCGTGCTCAGAGTTTAAGGTTTACGTTTTTGGAAGGACAACCTTAATGGAATATATCTGTATATCAGGCCGATGGAAGTAAGGTATCAGCTTACCGTAACATGGAAAAAAAAAATACGTGCGGGATTTTTTCATTATTCACTATTTTCATAAATTGACTGTAACCACGCCCAAATGAGGTCTGCAATCTATATCAAGTACTCTACAACTACATAATGGAGGCCCATAACATTTAATGTTGAACAAAAGATACCACATTCAGTACGTTAATAACTATTAATAATTAAATGAGTTTCAAATTGTCAAATGCACAAATTACTTAGTTGCCCGTTTTATGATTTTAGCATTATCCCCACATTCGTTGCATTGTGGGTATGCGTCGCAATTTTCATCCTCGGTTTCATTTGGCACGTATTCACCACAATGGATGCAAATTGGCTCAAATCCGCACAAATAGTATAACTTTTCCACGTGGTCATAGCAGTCATGATCTTTTATGTACACATCTATACCATGTGGCATCTGTATGTCATCTAAAACAATAGAATTTATAAAAAATATTTATAGAGTATAATAGTTCATTAATTTATACCAGTCAATCCAAATATTTACACAGAATACACTTTCATACCAAATATCAGACCACAACTGTAAGAGATGCTATCAAATAGATCTTGAAGGGTTGCCTTCTGTCTCTTCGTCAGCTTTTTCTTTGCAAATACCAGATGCCATTTATCACATTCTTCACACTGCAGCATCATACTTGTGTTTTTTGCATGCTGAACCAACGGCGAGAAGTTCATTTTCTTTCTTTGAGAACTAGTTCTGGATGTTGCACTGGGACGATTCTATAATAACAGAATTCGATTAACAATCTTTCTAAGCAAAAAAATGTTTTAAATGTTCGAAAAGCTTGGATGACTGTCAAAAAGAAAACGTTTATTAGAGACAAAGTTTACTTGACAATATAGATATAACAAAGTTTGCAGTACATACATTTTTGGTTTTTGTGCCATACACCTCATTGAATGGCTTATAATGACCGTTTCCAGCATCCACTGGGAATGGCAAGTTCTTCACCTCCTTGGACCTTGGATCTCTTAATGGTCTACAAAGGAAGTCAAAAGACATTTAAATAAAAAAGATTAGATCACTGAAGTTAAAGTCCATAGAATGTACCTGTATGTAGACCCAAACTGCTTACCCGCAAATCTTACAATTTGGTTCACCACACTTCCTGATTTGGAAACAGTAGTGACTTTCTATGCAACAGTGGCTTAAGAACTCTTAAAGATTAACTAAATCTTTACAGTCCTTTTTAGTTGTTTTGTTTCTCTAAAACAGATAAGAAAACACGTTTAAACTTTATGTATTTATACCTTCACACATTTAAATGTATTATCTATAACCATCCGTCTGTGTACGGTAGCTATCCATGTACCTACTGTATGTATGTATCTGTCTATTTACCTGAATATCTTTCTCAATTTCAACACACTTGTTCCATAGAACATCTATGCTATCCTCAGCAGCAGGCTGAAATACTTTGAATAGCTTATCTTTCAAAGATAGACGCAACATTTGTCCACGCAACAAATCTACTGGAAACTGTAGTGATTCTGAAAGCTCCTTTTTTCTTTCAACTGTGTTGATCACATCGCGCATTTCTTTCACACTACTGGCTTTGGCTGAAATTGATAATTATGGTGCATGTAACATGCTTAAGAACTGTCTAACACAACACTTTTATAAGATAGCCTTGTCTAAGTGTCATGTTTTCATATTAATTTCCCTACTACTTATAAGTATTTATGTTATTGCATTTACTAATACATACCAATGGCATTTTCAAAATCATCTGACATCTTCCGTCTCATTAAGCCAACTCCTTGCAAACCAATATTTTATGTAAATTATTACGGTTTTAGAAAGGGTCACTCAACTTCATTAGCCCTTGTTGATTTATATGATAGGGAATATGCTGTTGGAATTTTCCTGAACCTATCCAAAGCTTTTGACATGGTGGACCATGATATTCTTTTTGCGAAATTGGAATATTATGGTGTACATGGCATAGCATTGAGCTGGATAAAAAGTTACTTTTCTGACCGAAAACAATTTGTTCACTTTAATAACTCATGCTCTGCCTTTAAATCTGTAACCTGTGGAGTTCCACAGGGATCTATTTTAGGGCCACTGATGTTTTTGATGTATATCAACGACATATGTAATGTTTCTGATAATGCAAATTAAACTAATTCTTTTTGCTGACAATATGAACTCGTTCTTTTCGCATATAAACTGAGTGCACTTGGTTAATGTGAAAAACAGAGAACTACATTGGATTTGGCTCAGAGTGAACAAATTGTCTTTAAATCTTGATAAAACAAAATTTATAATATTCAAACCTAGACAAAAAAATCAACAAACTTTAAAATAGTACTTAATAACAGAGAACTCATTCAAACAAATGAAATTGTTTTCTTAGGTGTCATTCTAGATGAGCATCTCACTTGGAAATCTCACATTAATCATGTGTCAAATAAGATTTCCAAATCGATAGGAATAATACGCAAATGTAGCTTTTTTCTGTTAAAACAATCACTGTTAACTCTTTACTACTCGATGGTGTATCCCTATTTGCAATATTGCAATATAGTGTGGGCATCTACGTATGCATCTAATTTAACTCGTTTGGTAATTTTTCAAAAACGTATTGTCAGATTTTTAAACAATAGTAGTTTCGATTCTCATACCAATTTGATCTTTAAAAATCTAAGATTACTAAAATGTCACGACCTCCGTAAATTACAAACTGGCTAATTTATGTTCTTGTACATGAACCAGACCATTTTGAAAACCTATTTCTTTTAGGAGAGCTAATGAATTTTACATTGCAACTCCCAGCACAAATCTACGGCAATTTTCAATTAAATATCAAGGTCCACTTCTTTATAACAATCTAAATAATAATATAATAAATAGTGTATCATATTTGTCATTTATCAAAAAAATGAAAAAGCATCTCTGCTCGTCTTATATTGTAGTTAATTAATAAAACCAATTTTGTTCATATAATTATCACTGAGATAAATTTAACATAAGAGGAGGTTTGTGACACATAATAAGCCAAGTGGTTTCTCATCAAACCTCCTTGTCACATAAATACCTACTATTGTAAACTGTTATTATTACCCTTTTGTAAATTAATACCTTTTGACTTCTGCAGATAATTATAAGTGATTGTGTGATTTGTGTGACAAATCTAATAAATTGAAATAAAATTCAAAAAAATTCAAAAAACCCTAGTTAGTGATAAACATCTCGTGAAAATGACCTTCTGCCTTTGTAGTAGTGGACAAACAAATATTATCCCAGGTCCCAGGACAATGACAAATTTTCATGTTACGATAATAATCAATTTTCAGATCTCCTTACTTAAAAATTAAGAAGAGAGTAATATGTTGAAAAATGAGAACATAACATTAAAGTCACAACTTGAGTAGGCAACTAGTAATCCTGAAAAGAACCATCACTTTAATTCTTAAAAAAACTCCACCCCCTGTCCATTTCTCACATGTTGAGGATGGTGCATGAAAGGGAATCGCATCTTTTGCTGTGCTGTCATATTGTACGTATTACGTTTGTGGAAACACAGATACATACCTCTTGGCTGAAAAAATCTCCCAGGTACTTGCATAACTATGTTCTCTGGTATAGTTGAGGAAAAAGTATGCATGCGACTTAGCCTGCAGGAGACTGGACCTACCTAAATTGTATTGATGCAAATAGTAGACTAATTCTCGGTCTTCTGACAGGTCCATATTACATGGGCCAGTAGAATGAACAGTTTTGAAGTTGTTTTTTTTATCAAAAACGCAGTTGTGTCTTCCCTCGAGACAATAACATTTGTGTGGAGAAACAAACTTATGTCAAATGGATTCGCCCCTGACTCAACAAAGAATTGTAATGTGTGCTTAGACCTGCCCAAGTAAACCCTGACATATGTTGACAGCATAACAAAATCATGAAGATGTCTGGCCTTTGCTATGCAGGTTGTTTAAAAAATTTTAGCTTGTAGATTTCTAAGGGTGTTTGATATATGATTAAAATAGAATCTCTGCAATGCCTTTTTCATGCACAATCCTTTCTTTTGCTATCAGTCTAGCTTGCTGTGATAACTGCCTTTGATAAGATCTACATGACATAAACAATCTAATGCACTCCAATCTTCGTGAAAGTTATATTTGATGATATTAATAATGCAAGTAAGATGTGCTGTAATTGTGTTTGCCATTAGTTTTCAAACTTTTGATAGATGATCAACATATTCACAAATTAGTTACGAATATTGAGAGTGACAACTAGTATGTTTCTATGATGCATACATAAATATAAAAAAACAGTATATTTTTTCAACTAATTTGTCTAGAGTTTGTTTGGCAAACAGGGGACCATTCTGTTTTGGGTTTTATTCGATAGTGTGAAACTTACATAGTTCTGTTACTTCACTATTTAAGATTTCACCAGCCTCTTTTTTGCTTAATATGTAGGGAGTCCTGCATCTTTTCATTGGTTGTGGCCTGCAGTCATCGGTGCTGTCGTTGCTTGTAACACGATTAGAAGGTGGCACAGAAAATTCTGTTGTAAATGAACTGACAGCAACAAGTTTAGATGTCTGCTTTGATGAGGTTGGGGTCACGGTTTTGACAATCTCCATCCTTCGTGGCGACAAGGAAGCAACTATGGCAGCAGCATTCGACATATCCAGCATTGGACATGATAACATAGTGTTTGGTGTTGCAATAGCACCGTCGTCATCTTCTGAACTTTCCTCATCGCTGTAAACAACTAGTTTGGGTGGATCACTTGCAATACTCTTGGGGGGGGGGGGGGGGCTCAGTTCCGAAATATCACGTACTCGAACTGACCTGACTGCGTAGCTCAGTTGGCAGAGCATTGAGCTGGTATTGCAAAGGTCGTAGGTTCAATTCCCACCGTGGCCAGGCATATTTTTCAGGCCTGTCCGGTGTGGATATACACTCAGAGTAACATCACAAGCTTCTAATTTTGAAAAGTCATTCAAAGGCCTCAAAAGAGAGCTTAACCGACCGGGGTTTCAAGTAGTCAGAATTTGTTCCAGTCTTCGGTTTCACCTTGGACTGGAACAAATCCTTGTACAACTCTTCTTTCTCTGCCTTTAATACACTCTAATTTTTATTTCTATACTCACTCCAACCTTGCCAAAATATTCTCTAAATAATTTTAGCCAGCACCAAAACACAAACTCAACACAAGTAATCAATACAACTGGCAAGCACAGGATTATTCACTGAATGCAGATGAACAGCAAACAGCATAACAACACTAAACAATTTGGCACACATCTTCAGATGTCAATGGGAACTCAAATAGACGAAAACTTATAAAATATTACAGCAATCAGTATAATCCGAAGACGTATTCAGTATTGTATTTGTTCAATGCCCAATTCAGTAATCACAGTCTTGTTCGTCAGTTGGTGCTGAACAATTTGTACTTTTTGTACTGGCTTAGTAAAGTCTGTAACAAATATGTTGAATATAACTGACACGGAAATGAGTTGTGACCTGCTCATGGGATTATTAGCTAAGCTAAGATATAAGCAAATAATTGTAACAAGATGTTTCGCTTCGTGAGTAGTTCATGATAATAACCTGGCTTGCTCAAAGACGCTATAAAACTCTAAAGTCTGGGATCTATATGGAGTTGCAACTGATTGAGTTTGATGGAGAACAAAATGAAAGCGAAGTTGCCCTTAATTCTGCATTGCTAATTGAGTTTTGGTTGAGGCCAATATTTAAATTCAGTTTATCCCCTTTACATTTCAGATTACACCTCTTTGAAAACGGAAGGCCATTCACCCTTCAATTTGCATAGACTTTTATATTTAGTCTTAGCGGGATGATTTGTTCATGAATGAGTGGGAGATCTCTGGCTTGACATTTAGACAATTTTGTCGAACTTCTTCGATTACTGGCAACACCTTATATAGATGATTGTCTTTGTTGTCTGGGTCATCTTTTTTTGAATTGTCATTTACATGAAGAAACTGTCGCAGATGCAATTGGCTCATAACGCAACTCCTTTTCTCAGAAAGTTCATAGTTTGGCATTTTACAATGCTCATTTTCATTTGCAGACCTATCAGCCTTTCAATTTCATCCTTTGTGGTAGAAATGCTGCTGCCTGTTTGTTGAACACTATACAAATTTGTTTGTTCAACAATGTTTAGGGTAATAGTGTCATCCCAAAACATCTTAAAATATGAAAAAGGGCTCAGTTCATCCACATTATCAGGTAGGGTAAATTCTGCCCCTGAAAAGGATACATCAACTGCTTCTGGTTCCTTCTTTTTCCACTTGAAAACTAGAGTAGTTTCTTGTTGACTTGTGGTATCTTCACTTTCATCATTATCACTAATTCAATACACTGTGGTATCTTCACTTTCATCATTATCAGCTTCACAGCATTCATTTGCTGCTACTTAATCCACACATTCATCATCATCATCATCTTGAAGCTCTGACAGTTCAGAATCCGAACCAGGCTCCAGAATATATTGAATCACCTTTTCAGTGTCGTATCGAATTTTTGTCTGCTTTTCCATAATTAGCACTCTGTGGGGCCTCACAACAGTCCAGTTATAATATGTGTAAGTCAGTGATAGTAGAACATGAAATTTGTCTTAATTCCAGTTCTAATTAATCGTTCCTCTGGAGTTTCTACCGGTAATGATGGGAATAACGTCGCCAAAGTACGATCGAACTTTGTCTCAAATTTTTATTTCGGGTATCTTGCTCAAAGTTGGATGATTGCTTGTAATACCCCCAACTCCACCCAAGGTGACTGATTTGTTAATGGTATTGGTAGCGAAGAGGTTATTAATTGCTTCTTCCTCTTTAGGGTCCCATCTGTGTCATTTTGTCAGTACCCAGACTCTTGCGGTTAACTTGCTCTGAGGCGGACGGAACCTCATCAGGTCGGTTTTTCTCTGGACTGGACCACATGTATAACCTTATTTAGTTACTTTGAGATTCTTACAGCAGCAGTAGCCTTTGCTTCCGACAAATAGTATCGATCAGCAGTGGCTTTGTGGTGAACCATCAAACTGGCAAGCTCATCCCTTTTGCTTTTGTCGTCTTGGTGGACAGTAGATACAGCTGCCTTGCGAAAAGCAGTGGCACCTTTACCAAAAGCTGCCTTGCGAAAAGCAGTGGCAGTCTTTAGCAAAGACTTTTCCCCAACAGGGTATATATATATATGTATATATATAGTCTTTTCAAAAAAGGTTGTGATCTGGAAAGATATATATATTAAAGATTGAGCGAGCGAAGAACTTTGGGAATGTTCGTTGAGCTAAGTTCTTGCATAGAGCTAAACAGTTAGAATAGCAATAATGTGTCGGTTTCATTTGTATTTTAGCAGTGTCATATATATTGTATGTTCTGTCCAGCTCTCGTATTCTGACTGGTCATTAATTCTCCTGAAAATGTAAAAAGTAATTAAGTGACATTGTAAACAGGACGAAAACAACCTCGACAGTTCTCTCGAGACGATACTGTATTCATTAAACATATATAATTATCGGTTTTGTTAGTTTGAAATGCCCTGTCTGAAGATCCTAATATTTCCTTTGAGATCGGAGAACAATATGACAACACAACGAAAATGACTAGCACTCAACGTTTATTATGCAATTAAGATCTGCATATTATGGGCAAAATCTTTCACATGCATGCACGGTCGCACAAAAATGGCAGACGAAAATACAATTAATGTCGTACTGAAAGTTGTACGTAAGGCAAATCGAACAAAATATGATACATACAGTTGACAAAATGTAGAAATGTTTGACAATGTCGATGAATTGAAAGAGTTTTTGATGCGCAGTTTTTCTGTGGAACTATCACCTGCTACGACGACAAGCTCATTCAATCTTGGGTATATTGCTGGAACAAATAGGCGGGTGGTGATAGCAAACAACATCAACCTGGCCGAAGCATATTCTGTTGCTAAAGCAGGTTGGATAACACTGTGGGCAGAGGCAATTGTACCCCCTGCAGTGGCAGCATCAAGAGGAACCAAACGAAGCCTCTCCCATGCAACTGATGACCTGGCAACAAACCCCAGTGGTAATGGTATTTACTTAACTTGTACATCATTTGAAAAATGTTGTCTGTCTTACAATTTCCAGCTAGGTAAAGTTATACTCAAATATATATTAGGCTACAGCCTACAGTAGTAATAAAATACAATTCATATCCATAGGATTAAATTCTTCTGAAGCGGCAGGTTATGAAAGTACATTACAGCGACTCAAAACGAAGCATAGTTCCAATTACCCTAAATTTAAACTTAAGGTTTGGGCTAAAATGTTGGTAAGTTCTAATGTATTACTTGTATGTCTCTAAGTTACTGCATGCGGCATGCTATATTCTAAACTTTATGCTGTTTAACCAGTTGTTTTGTCAGTAATTTACTCGCCTCGAAATTGTTTAATTATAGACCAACAGCACTCACGACAGCCATGATATGCCGCCAAAAATACCTTTCTTTACCAGCCTTAAAGTGGGAAAGGTTAGAGGTGATTCCCCTTCGTCGACTACCCCTGCAACAGTAACGACAGGAGCAATACTTCCTGGTTCTGAAACATCGGAAACAGACATGACAGAGCAAAAGGGTATATCAACATACCATTTTTGTTGAGAAATATTTTTATAAATTGTAAGCAAATTAATATAGGGTATATTAATTAACTTCTCGAAAGCCAAAACAAAATCTTACTGCAAGTGATTGCATTTCGTTTAAAAAGTAATTGGGTCCAGCATCTCTACTAACGAGCTTGCGGTCCTGTTAGCACAGTGTTCAAGATGAAAACAGCTTTTGAACAGCGATTTACTACACAAAACAATTTTCATTGCATTATAATTATGTAGGTTCGTCTCCGTTCAATGATTTTGCAACAGCTGAAGGATTTAAAAAGCCTCGAAGAAACAGGAGTTCTGGACGAAGAGGAATTTAAAAATCAAAAATATAAGCTACTCAAATAATTGTCAAGCTTGTGATATGGCAGTGATACATAAACAAACCTGTTAAAGTTGTCTTATAATTAAAGTTATCTACATATATTGTTTACATGTAGCCAGCGTGATATATATATAGTTTTTAATTTGCTCATCTGTGCTCTGCAGAAATGATTCCCACAACATTAATTCTGGATCGGGGCAATCTTGCCACGCGATATCGTTTTGGCGAATGTAGTATTTTTAACCTGGGCAAAGAGTTCTTCGCAAGGCATAAAATCAGGCGAATATGCTGGCAAGAATATTAGCATTGCCCCAGTGGCATTAATAGCATTAATTGCTTCTTGAGTGTGATGTATTGCAGCGTTGTCTAGAAAGGATAAAACAGTTCGAGTAAGAGTTATATACAGTACCTCGAACGTCGGCTTTTATGGCATATACATACCCGAGGGCTCGCAGCGCCCGAGGGCATTATATGCCATAGGCCTAAAACCCGACGTTCAAGGTATATAACTGACTTACTTTATGATCGAGAAGGTTTTCTCACGAAGTTTTATCAAATTTGCCTACTTTATTCCATAGCTATACTGTATATATACCGTGGTACATCAAAGAAAACAAACTCGATCATGAAATAATAATTATTGACCTTGTCGCAAAATTCTACAATAATAAAACACTAGCCCAATGCTCTTCCAACTGAGCTACGCGGTCAGGACGGTTCGAGTAAGTGATATTTCGGAACAGTATCTAGTTCCTTCAATTCCAATGTGTTCTAGTAATATGAATTTTTTTTTTCTGTGTTGGTGTTGTCTACTCAGGTGAATAATATGTTTGCGATGTTACTCTGAGTGCATATCCACACCGGGCGAGCTTGAAAAATATGCCCGGCCATGGTGGGATTCGAACCTACGACCTTTGGAATACTAGCCCAATGCTCTTCCAACTGAGCTACGCGGTCAGGACAGTGAGTACACAACACCAACACAGAAAAAAAAAAAAAATAAAACACTATAAGTATAAGAGACAAGCAGGGCGCAAAATAACGGCCAGTCAACGGACAATGTCCGACCAAACTTTCGAGTGACCGGTCATTTTGACCGGCGATTTCGGCCAAAATCGGCAATAAAACTTTCAGTCCAAACTAATTGCTCTGACCAGTGAGGTTAAGAATATTTCCTGTCTTCTTTGCCTTATCATTCTTAACAGAATTTCCACCTTCACAGCTCAATACCACTTAGGAAACGTCGAACAGACGAACACTGTATCCTCGTTGACCCGCCATTTTCAAAGTTTTAGTTGGAGTACTTCATGTTATCTGAACGTTTTGGATACTTTACCAGAAAGACCGCTGGACATTGTGTATCGCATATTGTTTTGTTTTTTTCTTTAAATTTTTTTAAAGTTTCGTTGAGAAATGTTGTAAAAATACACATTAAAATTATAGTTACAATAAAAAAAAATGTTTAAAGTTAAACGATTAGTTGCATCTGTTTATTAGTTTTCCAAACGAGTTCGTATGTTCCTATACAATTACAGTTTAAATTTTGTTCAGCAAGATACACGTCCTTCAACTAGTGCTAGTTCAATCTCCCCACCAAAGGAATTAATTGGATTGTGGTGGGAAGATCTGGATCCACGTAGGCACATTATCGCTGATCGTAACAATGAAAAGCTAAGTCGGCACCTAAGCCAGTTTATTGTCTTGCTATATGGCTTGCCGTGATTTTCAGCGATCAAGGATGCTATTCTCTTGTAGACCACGTTTGCAGTGGCACCCATACCACCCGCTGTCGAGAAGACCAGCGGAGAAAATGACCTGTGTTCTACTTCTCTAATTCTTTCGTCGTACGCTCTTCTTTTCTCCAGTTCATTCTTACGATAGCACTGAGAGAGGGAGGTGTTTCGATAGCTCGGTGCGAAAGGGTTGAACACCCTGACGTCAAAAAATGCACGTTGCCGATCGCGCCCCCAGAAACTCCATAGCATACCTCCGTCAAAAATTCAGCAGTAATATCTCTTATCTCGTTGTGTCGGATTGAGGGAAAGCCTCCTCGTGAGCAACTTAATGCATGCTCTATTGTAAACTTCTGATCACAGACGCAGCGGGAGGGTAGATGCTGAGCAAGCCATCCATATCTCAGACATAGGGCATCTCGAAAAGCTCCTTTGTGTAGGTTGAACCCATAGTCAGACAACGGAAGCGTGGTAAGCCATGTGGAAGGG